AAATAAATAAATATAAATAAAACCCCACCATGCTATCTTCCCTGCAGCCAAAACTAATAATGTCACGCCGGATAATTTGACATATGACAAATCAATCGTAGAAGCTTTTTTTCTTTTGTTGCCGAGGCGACACTGGCCTCGCCTAATAATTGGTCGCTTTTAAGAACAAGGGGCCTATCCCCCCAAAAATGCTGTTTTGAGAAAATCGAAGGTAAAGTTTTTGCTCCTGGCTCAGTTTCTTTATAAGACCAGTAGAGTTTTCTCTATAACCAAACAATTTATATATACACACCAATGAAACCAAACTTCTTCTACAGGTAGAGCAATGCCCACTTTTGGTGTAGGTCAAGATTTCTGGAAACTCCCGAAATCTGGGTTACCCCATTTGTCCTTAAAAGCGACGATGCCTTTGTTACTTTTCAAGTCGTTAAGATTCCATTTTTCATTGTGCCAATTTTTTTGCTGGTCTGTAACTTTTCAAGTCGTTAAGATTTCATTTCCCATTACGCCAATTAATAAAAATGTCCTTTCTGAGTACGGTAGGTAGTTAAGTTTAACGCCACTTTCAACACTGTGAGATTATTACAGAGGCAGGACCTCCGAATTTAACACCAATTTTTGATAGCACGAAACTTGGGTAAAGAAAAAAAAGTCACCAGTAATACTCTTCATAAAACAGAGATTCAAATTAAGGCCGTGGGCATGGTCGTCTTGTTCATCTTTTTCTCTTTCTACTTCTACTCCTTCATCTCCTCGTCCTACCAAACTTCCCTTACTTTTTCATTTTCTCCTCTTCCTACTTTTACTCTTACGTCTCTCCTACCCCTTCAACTTTTCGTCCTCCATCTCTTCCATTTCTTTCACAGCGTCTGAAGTGACGTCAAGTCTCGTGGTTCATTTCTCCCCCCCCCCCTCCCCAAACCCCAAAACAAGAGTATCAGAATCAACGTCCTGAATTCGAAATATTGACATGTCAACATGTCTATACTTGTGAAAAAATTTTGGAGAGGGACCCCACTTGTATCTGTCTATTCTGTTTGCACTCAGTTCGACGATACTGGCCATAGATCTAGTAAAAACGTATAAATTCGATTTTCTAAAAATCAAGTATGTCGTTTGAGTTGTGCTAGGTCAAGTTGTACATTCTGTTATGCTGTTCTTCTTGCCTACCTCAAGTATACCATTATAGTTAAACACAAAACAACCAAAACGTCTCAGATAATTTTTCTTTGCAATAGTGAGATGAATGTGTTTTGCTCCTATTTCTAATATATGCTATACCGTTGAAAATGTTAACTCATATTGGGTACAAATTAAATATTTTGAGAGAGACACTCACCTGTAGCTGGTTTTTCAACTGTCTCTCATAGCTCTCTTCAAGAACCTCCGTTATGTTTTCTATTAGATCTCGTTTCAGTGAGCTTAGTTGCTGAAAAACTTCTTCCTTGTTTTCCTCCACAATACACGGATTGGAACATTCCAGTGACACGTTGGCAGTTTTTCCTACTTCGACTTCAGGTATGGTAACATTCAGCACCAAAGCAGGTGAGGACAGGAACAGCGCTGCTGCCAGAATCAGCTTCAGTGATACCCAGTTGGCGTCCATTCTTCTTGTACAATGGGGTATTTTGGTCTCAATGATCGTCTTGCAGCTTTGCAGGAAATGTACAGGAAACACTTAGAAAAATATTTGGTCAAGAAAAAAAAAAATTTAGTTGTACAAACCAAACGGTAAAAGATTCAGGAACTAATCAGTCAGGTTACCTAAGCGTCTTTATAATTATGGTAATTGTAATTTAAAATTTCTTGTGGTTTTGCTTCTTCGTTGTGAGAAAAATCTTCCACAAACAGAGCACTGGGCTAGTGTCATTGTCAGGACGTAATTGTCTTGATTTTATTGCCTCTTTTACAACTGCCTCTGCTTTACAAACTATGTTTTTCTAAAAGAAAGACAAAAAGATATGTATATTATACAATAACTATCCCACAGATGCTGGGTATTATGAATTGAGATTGCTTAATCATAATTATTACGTCTTGCTGGGGAAAATATACAACAAATATCTTTCTTTAGTCACCATCCTTATGCGCCTGGCCAAAAATAAGGTGAACAGCCCTCCCTCATGCTAACTCGAAAAGAATTACTGGCTCAACGGTGGAATTGATGTAGAAACGAAATTTTTCAGAGGGGGACAATTGAATAAGAGGCCTACATCTAAAACGCTTGCCCTTAAATAGATAGATAGATAGATAGATAGATAGATAGATAGATAGATAGATAGATAGATAGATAGATAGATAGATAGATAGATAGATAGATAGA